ATTAGAGAAAAAAAGAGTGAAAAGAAATGAACGAAGCCTCCAAGAAATATGGGATTATGTAAAAAGACCTAATCTATGTTTGATAAGCATATCTGAATGTGATGGAGAGAATGAATCCAAGCTGGAAAACACTCTTCAGAATATTATCCAGGAGAACTTCCCCAACCTAGCAAGCCAGGCCAACATTCAAGTCAAGGAAATACAGAGAACACCACTAAGATATTCCTCAAGAAGAGCAACCCCAAGGCACATAATCATCAGGGTTAAAATGAAGGAAAAAATGGTAAGGGCAGCCAGAGAGAAAAGCTAGGTTACCCACAAAGGGAAGCCCATCAGGTTCACAGTGGATCTCTCGGCAGAAACCCTACAAGCCAGAAGAGAGTGGGGGCCAATATTCAGCATCCTTAAAGAAAAGGACTTTCAACCTAGAATTTCATATCTAGCCAAACTAAGCTTCATAAGCAAAGGAGAAATAGAATCCTTTACAAACAAGCAATGGCTGAGAGATTTCATCGCCACCAGGCCTGCCTTACAAGAGCTCCTGAAAGAAGTACTAAACATAGAAAGGAACAACCAGTACCAGCCACTCCAAAACGTACCGTGAACAGCATATACACAATGAAGAAAATGTGTCAACTAACAGGCAAAACATCCAGGTAGCATCAAAATGGCAGGATCAAATTCACACATAATAATATTTACCTTAAATGTAAACAGGCTAAATGCCCCAATCAAAAGACACAGACTGGCAAATTGGATAAAAAGTAAAAACCCATTGGTGTGCTGTATCCAGGAAACCCATCTCACATGCAAGGACACACATAGGCTCAAAATAAGGGGATGGAGGAAGATTTACCAAGCAAATGGAAAGCAAAAAAAACAGGAGTTAAAATCCTAGTCTCTGATAAAATAGACTTTAAACCAACAAAGATCAAAAGAGACAAAGAAGGGCATTACATAATGGTAAAAGGATCAATGCAACAAGAGGAGCTAACAATCCTAAATATATATGTACCCAATACAGGAGCATCCAGATACATAAAGCAAGTTCTTAATGACTTACAAAGAGATTAAGACTCCCACACAATTATAGTGGGAGACTTTAACACTCCACTGTCAGTATTAGACAGATCAACGAGATAGAAAATTAACAAGGATATCCAGGACTTGAACTCAGATCTGGACCAAGCAAACCTAACAGACATCCACAGAACTCTCCACCACAAATCCACAGAATATACATTCTTCTCAGCACCACATCACACCTACTCTAAAACTGACCACATAATTGGAAGTAAATCACTCCTCAGCAAATTCAAAAGAATGGAAATCATAACAGTCTCTCAGACCACAGTGCAATCAAAATAGAACTCAGGATTGAGAAACTAACTCAGAACCACACAACTTCATAGAAACTGAACAACTGGCTCTTGAATGTTGACTGGATAAACAATGAAATGGAGGCAGAAATAAAGATGTTCCTAAAAACCAATAAGAATGAAGACACAACATACCAGAATCTCTGGGACACATTTAAAGCAGTGTCTAGATAAAAATGTATAGCAATAAATGCCCATGTGAGAAGCAAGGAAAGGTCTAAAACTGACACACTATCATGAAAATTGAAAGAGCTAGAGGAGCATGATCAAAAAAACTCAAAAGCTAGCAGAAGACAAGAAATAACTAAGATCAGAGCAGAACTGAAGGAGACAGAGACACAAAAAAACGCTTCAAAAAAAATCAATAAATCCAGGAGCTTGGCTTTTGAAAAGATCAACAAAATTGACCACTAGCCATATTAATAAAAAAGAAAAGAGAGAAGAATCAAATAGATGCAATAAAAACGATAAAGGGGATATCACCACAGATTACACAGAAATACAAACTACCATCAGAGATTACTACAAACAACTCTAAGCAGATAAACCAGTAAACCTGGAAGAAATGGATAAATTCCTGGACACTTGCATCCTCACAAACCTAAACCAGGAAGAAGTCGAAACCCTGAATAGACCAATAACAAGGGCTGAAGTTGAGGCAGCAATTAATAGCCTACCAACCAAAAAAAGCCTAGGTCCAGATCAGTTCACAGCTGAATTCTACCAGACATACAAAAAGGAGCTGGTACCACTTCTTCTGAAACTATTCCAAACAATCCAAAAAGAGGGAACCCTTCCCAAATCATTTTATGAGACCAATATCATCCTCATACCAAAACACAGCACAGATTCAACAGAAAAAGAAAACTTCAGGCCAGTATCCATGATGAACATCGATGCAAAAATCTTCAAAAAAATAGTAGCAAGCTGATTGCAACAGCACATCAAAAAGCTTATCCATCATGAACAAGTAGGCTTCATCCAGGGGATGCAAGGCTGGTTCAATATACTCAAGTGTATAAATGTAATCCACCACATAAACAGAACCAAAGACAAAAATCACATGATTATATCAATAGATGCAGAGAAGGCCTTTGATAAACCTTTTATGCTAAAAACTCTCAATAAACTAGGTATTGACAGAATGTATCTCAAAATAATAAAAGCTATTAACGACAAACCCACAGTGAATATCATACTGAATGGGCAAAAACTGGAAGCATTCCCTTTGAAATCTGGCACTAGACAAGGATGTCATCTCTCATCATTCCTATTCAATATAGTATTGGAAGTTCTAGGCAGAGCAATCAGGCAAGAAAAAGAAAGCGTATTCAATTAGGAAAGGAGGAAGTCAAATTGTCTCTATTTGCAGATGACATGATTGTATATTTAGAAGACCCATCATCTCAGCCCAAAATCTCCTGAAACTGATAAGCAACTTCAACAAAGTCTCAGGATACAAAATCAATGTGCAAAAATCACAAGCATTCCTATACACCAACAATAGACTTAAAGAGAGCCAAATCAAGAACAAACTGCATTCACAATTGCTACAAAGAGAATAAAATACCTAGGAATACAAGTAACAAAGAATGTAAAGGACCTCTTCAAGGACAAATACAAACCACTGCTCAAGGAAATAAGAGGGGACACAAACAGATGGAGAAACATTCCATGCTCATGGTTAGGAAGAATCAATATTGTTAAAATGGCCATACTGCTAAAAGTAATTTATAGATTCAATGCTATTTCCATTAAGCTACCTATGACCCTCTTCACAGAACTGAAAAAACCACCTTAAACTTCATATAGAACCAAAAGACAGCCCACATAGCCAGTATAACCCACATACCTGACTTCAAACTCTACTACAAGGCTACAGTAATCAAAACAGCATGGTACTGGTACCAAAACAGGGATATTGACAAATGGAACAGAACAGAGGCCTCAGAATCAATGCCACACATCTACAACCATCTGATCTTTGACCAACCTGACAAAAACAAGCAAAGGGGAAAGGATTCCCTGTTTAATAAACGGTGTTGGGAAAAGTGGCTAGCCATGTGCAGAAAACAGAAACTGGGCCCCTTCCTGACACCTTACACTAAAATTATCTCTAGATGGATTAAAGACTTAAACATAAGACGACCTAACACCATAAAAACCCTAGAAGAAAACCTAGGCAAAACCATTCAGGACATAGGCATAGGCAAGGACTTCATGACTAAAACACCAAAAGTATTGGCAACAAAAGCCAAAATAGACAAATAGGACCTAATTAAACTCCAGAGCTTCTACACAGCAAAAGAAACAGTCATTAGAGTGAATGAGCAACCAACAGAATGGAAAAAATTTTTTGCAATTTACCCATATGACAAAGAACTAATATCCAGAATCTACAAAGAGCTAAAACAGTTTTACAAGAAAAAAACAAACAAGCCCATTCAAAAGTGGGTGAAGGACATTAACAGACACTTTTCAAAAGAAGACATATTTGAGGCCAACAAACATAGGAAAAAATGCTCATTATCACTGGTCATTAGAGAAATGCAAATCAAAACTACATTGAGATACCATCTCACACCAGTGAGAATGGCGATCATTAAAAAATCTGGAGACAACAGATGCTGGAGAGGTTGTGGAGAAACAGGAACACTTTTACACTGTTGGTGGGAGTGTAAATTAGTTCAACCATTGTGGAAGACAGTGTGGTGATTCCTTAAGGACCTAGAAATAGAAATTCCATTTGACCCAGCAATCCCATTACTGGCTATATATCCAAAGGATTATAAATCGTTCTATTATAAGGACACATGCACACGTATGTTCATTGCAGCACTGTTTACAATAGCAAAGACTTGGAACCAATCCAAATGCCCATTGATGATAGACTGGACAAGGAAAATGTGGCACATATACATCATGGAATACTATGCAGCCATAAAAAACGATGAGTTCGTATCCTTTGTAGGGACATGGATGAACCTGGAAACCATCATTCTTAGCAAACTGACACACGAACAGAAAATCAAACACTGCATGTTCTCACTCATAGGCAGGTGTTGAACAACGAGAACACATGGACACAGGGAGGGGAGCATCACACACTAAGGTCTGTGGGGAGGGACAGCAGGGGGTGGGAAGTTGGGGAGGGATAACATGGGGAGAAATGCCAGATATAGGTGATGGGGAGGAAGGCAGCAAACCACATTGCCATGTATGTACGTATGCAACAGTCCTGCATGTTCTTCACATGTACCCCAAAACCTAAAACACAATAAAATATTTTTTTTATAAAGCATACTATCTCTACTGATTAGAGTATCATAAAAGATACTAAACTCTCAAAAATGTATTACTTTTAGAATGTTCACACATCGAGGGTTGATGTTATTTTCAGATAACAAAAGTATTACAATAGTCACTCAGAAATCTGAGATTAACCCATCTTTAAGCAGTAAATCTGAAAAAAGCTTGAAACAAAATTATCTTTGACTTCCATAGTCCAATAACATCAGTAAACCAACTTTCAAAAGTAAAGGAATTAAATTTATACTGCAATGTAGGAATCATTTTCAGAGAATGCAGTGAAGCTTGGTGAGGAAAGGGGGAGTTTATGAGCAGTGAATTCTACAGACTATGAAGATGACTAGTGGGAAAACTATTTGAGGTGCCCTTCTAAGAGAGGGTTAAGTCTGAGGAGACCTTATTTTAGGAATTTCAAAAAGTGAAGATCTGTTTTCATCATCAAAGGAGGCTGAAGTGACTTCGTTTTCCGATGGGATAAAGCAATCAGAATCTTTATAAGATGAAGAAATTCCAGCTTTATGGAGGAATGACAAAGTTCCACTTTGAGAGGGATGCTGTTGAATCATGACTGGAGAATGATCTGTGCTGTAACTTTCAGAACCAGGAAGAAGGAAATCTTTTAAATCTTTACTTAACTGGCCCTTTTGTTGAATATCAGTGGCAATTCCATTTTGTTGATCACTTGCCAGAGAAAAGAAGGATGATGCGCTTTGTTGATAGGAGGCTCTATCAACACTGTTCCGAAAGGCTGGAGAAGTGGTGTTTATTTCAAAATTCTTAAAATTTTTAGTGCAATATTCAGGAGCAGAGATGGTTATATGATTTTGAGCATCATTATTACTTGGGGTTTTAAAAATGATTTCGATTTCATTTAGATTAAACACACTCTGGCCACTTGCTTGAGGATCAAAAAAAATCGCACTCTTGTAACAGGAAACTATACTTAGTTTACGGGATAAGAAACGGCTTCTGCGGGACATAAGGCTATTAAAATGCTCTGAGGGAGATTTTAAATCAGTGAAGCTTGTGTCTTCTTCAGAATCAAAGTTAGCTCTACTTTGCTGCCAGTAAGGGGAAGCATTTCCTTTTTGAAATCTAGCAAATAAAGAACATCTTCTTTCAGAGAAAGATGGACTTGATAGAGACGATAGCCTTCTACTTGTTTTGGCTGAATTGACTTTATGTGTCACAGGGGAATAAGATGTTTTATGATCAAGAGATACATTTGCTTGTAAAATAGAAGAAGCTCCATGATGCTGGGCGTCTGTAGTAACTTGATCTTCTGGACAACATCGTTGGAAGCTCTGGTCCTCTTTGCAGCAGCTATAGTGAGAAAAGGGTCAAATGAGAAAAAAAATAGGGAGCAGAGTGGAGATCTGCCAAGCCTCCTGAAGACTAATATCCACCTTTTGGTGGCCACCAATTGGTATTGTTTCCATATCAATACAGAAACAGCAGGGAATAAGAAGAATAGGGGAGCTAAAGTTAATGGTCACAAAGAGGTACCCAAAAGAACGCATAAGTCTAAAAGGTTGTCTCTACCTATGCAGTTCCTACTCACACTATTAAACCTTAGGAAGAGAAGTTGAAAAAATCAGGGAAGCAGGTAGAAAGATCAGGGGAAACATATGCAAGATTCCCAAAGGAAAAGACAGAACTGGTTTTAAAGGTAATAAACCAGAATATCTGCTTCAGACTACTAAACTACTGTATTTAAAGGAGTTAAGGAGAATAAGCTTATACTCTCTTGACTCACTGTATTTTAAAATATTAACCATGGTGATGAAGCAGAATCTCTCTGGGGAGGATGTTTTAAGTGAATATCCAGATAGTCTAGTATATCCAGTTATCATGGAAAACTAAAGGAAGCACTAAAGCTTGGTTTATGAATATTTTCATGTGTTTTTTAGCACATGTTAAAGTATTTTTTCTAAGGCTTACCTTAAGCATTTTCCCATTTTGAATTTAATCTAAAGTAAGTCTCTCTCTTCCCCTCTAGGCCATCATCCTTAAGCCATAAAATGCCCTGTGTAGGTGGAACAGGTCAGAAGACTGAATGCTCAAACTGCATATGGAATTAACATGGCAACAACATATAAGTGTGATAACAGAGACTCTAGAATCTCATGACGTCAGTTTAGAATAGAATTGTTCTGTAGCTCACCTTTCTCAACAGTTGGAATTCACATGACTCTGGAATGTGTTTTTACCTTCACTGTTGGAGGAGTCAGCCAACAAATCCAGGGGTGGGAAAACAGCTGGATGAGGACAATAACATATATGACACCTGTACAATCCTTAATTTGGACCATCTCTCTCTCCAGCTGCCTTCCACACCCCTGTCTTACTAACTCATTCTTCTTTCACTTGAATATTCTTTACGCTAGATTTTTGCATCCTCCAGTGATTTGGAAAAGCAACTGTTAGAGACTTTGGCCTAAAGGTACATTGAGAAGGGAAAAAAAGTTTAATAAGTAGCAAATGTCATTGTTTCCACAAATGAAACAAGACTCATCCACGATGGCAATAAAGTATGCCATCTGACTGCTTGGGCCATTTGCACAGATCATGGGGATATGCTATGCCACTATATAGCACTCCTCAGAACAACTGATACTCACCAAAACACTAGGTTAACAGAGTTAGAAAATAAACACTGTCCTTTCTTATCCAAACCAATTTGGGCTATTGTCCCCATAACAGGTATATGTGTAGGTGTATAGCTACCTATGACATGAAACACCACCTCAAATACTTTTATTTACTGTGCAATCTCCTGATCCTAAATATTACTACCACCTCTAGCCTTTGCTTCCTTCCTAACACCCTACTGCAGGAAATTCTTGAACAAATTCCTTTTAAGAGACCCAAAGCTCTCTAATGTTCACCATATGATGGTTGGATTTGTGATTTGATTTTACTCTACATACAAGCTAATAAATTAATTTCTTACTGGTTCATGGATGTTGGCAGAAGACATGAGATTACTGGGTTAGAGACAGAAGACAGAAGACTTATGTTACTTATGACACAGCAAAGCAGCATGATCACAAGGACATTTACATTGGTTCTGCTTTGTCGCACATTGCCACGGGGGCAATGCAGAGGACTCAAGGAGACTTGTATTCACAGCGGATTGTGTTACAGAAAAGAACACTGAGCTTAGATGATCTACTACTTCTACAGCAAGCAGTAAGCAAATCTGCTAAACCTGGTCTTGGTCCTGAAGGGAAACAGTAACTCATTCTTCAAGGTTGCTCACCAAGGTTCATTTCAACCCTGAAAATGGCCCACATAAAGAGTGATCAGGGCCTTATATGCTTGGCTCATGTAACAAGATGTCTGGGAGCACAAGAAGCCCAAGGAGGACTGTTTGTCTCTGTAACATTTTCCCTCTCTTGTGAGATTACTGTCTTTTGTTCCTAAGCCACACTAAGATCTGATTATCATTTTCCAAAAGGATCTCTTTTGCACTTTGCGAGAACAGTGTAATATCTAGAAGCTGTTTAATATTGTTCCAGATGAAGAGCTTATCTCTCTAACTGTCCTCAAATTGCCTCCTTTTGGCTTATTTTTAAGACAACCAAAATTAGACTTAGCCCAAAAGCAAATAGTAACCCCTTATAATAACAAGCATCTAAAACATGTTCTTCCATCAATTCATTCCCAATTCTCTTTTATCATGCCCTACGGCCACCCAACCATCCTCCTTTTCTATTACAGCCACTCTATTCTCACCAAGGTCAATAGTCCATCATTATACTCACTATACCCAATGAAACTTTTGTTTATCTGTAACCATAATTGCCACTCATTAAAACCACAATTTCATCATCATCACTCAGGTGGATGTTAGAAACTCTTCTAGAACAAAGCTTCTCAAACGTTAGGGAGTGTAAGAGTCATCCAGCAGAGCTTGTTAAAATGCTCAGATTCCTAAGCACTGCTCCCAGACATCCCGATTCACTGTCTGGGATATGTCCTGAGAATGTGCATTTCCCACACTCTCACAGGCTAGATGGGATGCTGATGTTGCTGGTCCACAGACCACCGTTGAGTAGCTCTGTTCCTGAACATACGGGTCATGACAATCCCGAGTCAAGACAGAAGCATCTTCTGAGGTACCTCACAGCAGCTGCCTATCTAAGCTGGAGTCTAGAAAAGACAGTGACTAATACTAGGACTGAATGTCCTCCAATAAAAATCTATTGGTTATTATATTTATAGACAATGCTAACAGGGACACTGATGAGGAAGATAACAAAATGTAGAGAAGAGCTTACCCTCTTCCAAGCTAATACCTACTCCTTTACTAGCGGGCAGCAATGCTACTTTATATTGTCAGTTTCCATGTTACCAGACACTATCTTGAGCTTAATACAGTTTCTCTAGAGTCTGCAAGTGATACTATTCTTTCTTCGACATGTTATCCCAATACCTGAGGTGCACTGCTGCTAAAAGGGTCGAATGACACCCCCTGTTTCATAGGTTATTTCCTTTGCTTTGTTTTTGATATTTTTTAAAAAGGCCACTTTCCTGCATTTTTACTCTTGCCCTCCATATTGGCTTCTTCCCTGTGGCCCATAAATATGCTCAAGTATCTCTCAGGTGAAAAAAAAACACAAAAAATAAAACATAAAATATACGTTCTCTTAATTATATATCCTCCTTCCATCTAAAGTCAAGTTCCCTGAAATATGCGTCTGCCCTTCTGGTGTCCACATCTTTACCTCTTTCATTTGTCCAGGCCTAGATCAGGTTTCTGTACTCATAATTACCCAGCAACTGATCCTGAAAGGCTTCACAATAAATGACCTCCTAAGTCTCAAATCTGGCAAACACAGTTCAGTCCCTATTTTATTTGACCAAACACATTAGAAGTGAAAGGCTACTGTTAAACGTATTTTTCTAGTTCAGGGGTTGGTAAACTATATCCTGGGGCCCAATCTACCAGCTACTTGTTTTTGTAAATAAATTTTTATTGGAATGCAGCCATACCCATATTGCCTATGGCTGCTTTCACACTACAATGGCAGAGTTAAATATTTGAGATGAAGATTGTGTGGTCCTCAGAGCCTAAAATTCTTTTTTTTTTTTTTTTTTTTTGAGGTTGGCTTTTTAAAATTGTGTTTTCAATGAGAAGTACATCATCTGTTTACAAAATAACACTTGAAAAATCCAAGGAGTACAGATACTATAAAACAAAGCAAACTCCAGTTACGAGACACTACATATATCATGCCAAAACAACAGTCGCAGTTCCAGGTTATGAAAACTAAAATTAAAAAATCACTACACAGAAAAGGTCCAAGTTTTCAGCATGGCAAAACTTGGGTGCAGTTACACAAAACATTTAATAAACGGAATTGTTTTCCCCTATGTGTAAACAAAATGACAAGACTAAGTCTGTGCCTGGTGATTTCAATCTAACTCTGAAGCTGCACAAAATATGCAGACACCTTATATACTTCACCTGTTAGCATGACCATCTTTTTTTCTTAGGTGGTAGGGGGAAGGGCAAGGTGAATATGCAGAGCAAAGATGTGGGGAGAAATATTGCATACTAGATATTATAAAGTCACAGTGAAAAGAAAGCCTCAATTAATGCATACCCTAAGGGGGAAAAGACTACACTCTAACTTCGGACAGTTAATTTAGAAGAACAGGGGGAGAGTTTAATTGCAGTTTAACATGAAAAATGTATATATAATAGAATGGAGCACAATGAATGATTTATGAAATATACAGCTTAAAATTCTGACAGAAAAAGTTTGCCAACTCCTGTTCTAGTACATTTAATACATTTGACCATTTCCTTCTAATTTATAAAGTAATTCATTATTTAAAATAATTTATTTTAGACAGTGCAAAGCAACTTGATTATCTTAACTTTCATTATCATCTAAAACAACATGAGACATGCATTATCAACCACATTTTAAGATAAATAAATTGAGGTTTGGAGAATTAAAGTTACACAGCTAAAGGCTGAGTCAGGATTCATGCTTGGGTCAAAATGATTCTAAAACTTGTGGCTTTTACCACTATTCTGGAATTCTTGTCCTCTCTTGGTTTCTGTGACACCTTTGTCCGCTGGTTCACTGCTCATTTCACTGAGCTGTAATCTCTCTTCTTTTGCAGGCTCATTCACCTCTGTCCATTCCTTCATTACTGGTTCCAGAAAGCTATATACTCCACTCTCTTCTCTTTTCCCATGCTATACATTGTGGTTGTGCAATGGCATATGTTCCCACAGCATCCGGCTTCATAATCATATCAGTGGCATGCCCAGAACGTGAACAACTTTCCAGGGAGAAATGCTTCTCAGCCTTTAGCAGTTCCTTCATCAGTAGCATGTGGATGGCTGCTCATGCTGGCAGTGGCTTCAATCTCTTAGCAAGTCCTGCCCAGGAAGATCTAGCATCTGGCTGCAGGATAGAAAGTTGCTTGGCACTTATTGCTTTGTTCTTGGCCTTTAGGGTTCTAGTTTTAACTAGTTAAAAGACCAAGAGCATCACTCTTTAACACGCTGCTAGTTTTTTTTTTAATCTGTTTTACTTGCAAGACTTTGCTTTGTTTCCTGCTAGATCCCCCAGAGTCCAGACAGTGTCTACCACAGAGTAGACACTCACACTGAATGAATAAGGGGACTTCATTTGTTAATGTCAACTTTTCTTTTTTAAAAAGAAATTCATAGAAGAAATCTAAATGACAAATGAATGATGAAAAGTTCAATCTCACTAGTGTTCAGGGAAATTGAAAAATAATCAGTTACCATTTCATCTCCATCAGGATGGCTAAAATTAAAAAGTCTGACAATATAAGAATTTGTATGGGAAGATAAGAATTCTCATACACTGCTCATAGGATAGTAACTTGGCACACTTTAAGGAATAATTTAGCAATATATAATAACAATATAGTCTATAACTCAGCACTTCAAATGTATACTTCTAAG